TTAAGGTTGAAGGGTACTATATAGTCTGCACCATTGACATTCAGAAGGAAGTGAAATACACACAAGTGTTGAGGGCCTGGGATTTATTGTCTCTTGATGAGGTTGGAAAATTATTGCGACGTCTTGATGGCATATTTGCTATGCATACTGATGATTTTATCAATTTGTGCAAGCAGAAGTGCCTAGATGGGTATGTTGGTTTCTACATATCCTATTATACCTGCAATGAGAGTTCTCGTTGGGAATTACAGTGTTGCATTCTACATTGTTAGATATGACAACTCTTCTAAATTGCTTTTATTTTTTGCCCAGGGACTTGGAAGTTCCAAAATCTTGGCCAGCTTCTCGTGTTCTTGTAAGGTTCAAGAATCTTGGTGAAAGATTGGCAGACAGCTCAAATGACTGTGTGGTGGATGGTAGAAGTTACATTGAAAATTCAAGGGTGAATGAAAGCTTACTGTTGATGAAGTTTTACTCCTTATCATCTGGCGTTGTTCATCATTTGCTGTCTGACAACCAAGGTGAAGAAATTGATATCCCTTTTGAAGTTACTGATGAGGAGAAGGAGATAATCCAATTTGGAAGGACCAGTTTCATATTGGGTCGATCAGGCACGGGGAAAACCACTGTTTTGACCATGAAATTATTTCAAAGGGAGCAACAACATCAGCTTGCCTTGGGTGGAGTCATGAAAGTTGAGGCAAGTGAGATAAGAGAGTATGCAGGAGAAAGTAGCTTTTCTAGATCTGAAGTTGATACTAAGGGGACTACCTTAAGGCAGCTTTTTGTCACAGTTAGTCCAAAGCTATGCTATGCCGTCAAACAACATGTTTCTCATCTGAAACGGTGAGCATGAACAATCTAATTTAGTTTCTGTCAGATTCTATCTTCAATTTACAGCTTGTTGTTAAGAAGTACACTACTTAGTTAGTTACATACCTTTGATTAATGGATTTTGTTTGTTTTTATGCTGTATCAAATCTTGTTATTGCTGTTTTCAAAAAAAAAAATCTTGTTATTGCTTGATTTTGAAATTATCTTGTTACCCTTTGTTCTTACAGTATATGATACAACCATTATGGGATACTGCAACTTCTTTATGAAGGATTATCAGGACATGAAATGCATAAATAGTCATCAAGCATATGAATGATTGCATGATAGAATCATTTTTCCATGTTCTGATGCCAGTGCAATTGAACTTGGTTTTGATTGCGAATTGTCTTTCACCCACCCCCTCCCTGGTTTTAAATTAAGAAGCTTTTATCTTGATGTAGTTTCTATATCCATTACCTAATTTAATGTTTTCCACTTTCTGATTACTTGACATGCATTCTATCACATGAAGTAGGATGTATGTTATGATGTTCTTGGCTTGTTCAAACAGCTCTTCCCCTTGAATATAGAGCGCATAAAAGCCTGTTTTCATAGTCAAAGATGTTTTATCTGTAATTGTAAACCTTTATTATGCCTGCAGCTTTGCTCAAGGGGGTCAAATCTCTGCTGGGAACAGTGTGATGGATTTGGATGATTTGGATGGATTTTCACATTTTAAAGACATTCCAAATTCTTTTGTTGACATTCCGGATAGTAAGTATCCTCTGGTAATAACATTTCATAAGTTTTTGATGATGCTCGATGGCACGCTGGGGTCTTCATACTTTGACCGTTTCCTGGATACAAGCAAACTTTCTCTGGACAGTATGTCAAGAGCAGCCACTATAGAAAGTTTCATAAGAGTGAAAGTGGTTAGTTTTGACCACTTTTGTTGCTTGTATTGGCCTCATTTCAACTCCCAGTTGACAAAGAATCTTGATCCTTCCAGAGTGTTTACTGAGATAATTTCACACATAAAAGGGGGCTTGCAAGTGTGTGAGACCGATGGTGCAAAACTCACCCGTGAAGGATATATTTCAATGTCTGAGAACAGAGCGTCCACTTTGAATGAGAAGAAGAGAGAGGTGATTTATGACATCTTTCTTGGTTATGAAAAAATGAAGATGGAGCGGGGTGAATTTGATTTTGCTGATTTAGTGAATGATCTTCATCTTCGATTAAAGAGTGAAAACTTGAATGGTGACAAAATGGATTTTGTATATATTGATGAAGTTCAAGACCTTACAATGAGGCAGATTTCACTGTTCAAGTATATTTGCAAAAATGTCAATGAAGGCTTTGTATTTTCTGGTGACACCGCCCAGACAATTGCCAGGGGGATAGATTTTAGGTTTGAAGATGTGCGGTCTTTATTCTATGAGGAGTTTATCATGAAATTAAAGGGTGATGGACCTCCGGCACGAAAAGATAAAGGTCATCTTGCTAGGGTCTCTTGTTTGCTACAGAACTTCCGTACTCATGCTGGTGTTCTAAGGCTTGCACAGAGTGTAATAGATATTCTTTGTCATTATTTCCCTCAATCTATTGATGCTTTGGCACCAGAGACCAGTCTTATATATGGTGAAGCTCCTGTATTACTTAAGCCTGGCAGTGATGAAAATGCTATTGTAACTATCTTTGGTAACAGTGGGAGTACTAGTGGGCAAATGGTGGGTTTTGGCGCTGAGCAAGTCATATTGGTGCGTGATGATTCAGCTAAAAAGGAAGTTTCTGACTTGGTTGGAAAACAAGCACTGATTTTAACAATAGTTGAATGCAAGGGCTTAGAGTTCCAGGCAAGTGAGATTGCAATTCTTTCAATTCCTTTCTGATTCTTTTCTCTTTCACAGTCTCTATTTTGGGGGACAGGAATAACAGCGATATTATGATAATTTTTGCTTGATCACAAATTTTAATACAAGGTGCTATGCACTTTGTCTGCTTCAATTGAAATTTGTGATCATATTAACTAGAATGTGTGCTAGAACTTGTTTCTTTCCTGTTCTATATTGTCTGACCACTATAATGTATTATTGTAGGACGTACTGCTTTACAACTTCTTTGGTTCTTCACCACTTCGAAATCAATGGAGAGTAGTATATGAATTTATGAAACAGCGAGATATGCTTGACTTGAGATTTCATCAATGCTTCCCAAGTTTTTGTGAATCGAGGCATACCATTTTGTGTTCTGAATTAAAGCAGCTCTATGTGGCTATTACTCGGACAAGGCAAAGGTTATGGATCTGTGAAAGTATAGAGGAGTTTTCAAAACCTATGTTTGATTATTGGATGAAAATGTGCCTCGTGGAGGTAAGGGAGGTTGATGACTCACTTGCACAGGCTATGAGACTGGCAAGCACTCCTGAGCAGTGGAGATCACGGGGAATTAATGTCAGTTGATCTTGCTTTTCTTTTTGGCTAGTATAATTTTCTACTTTTTAAAAAAAAAAAATATCATTCATTGAATCTGGGATTAAAATAAACTTTTTTGAAGACTTCTAGACTATGCATAATCCAAGAAACTAATCGACTAGTTTTGGCCTTTTAAACTTCAGGTTTTCTAATAGCAGTGGAATATATTTTATTGTGCAGCTCTTTTGGGAGAAAAACTATGAAATGGCTATAATGTGTTTTGAAAGGGCAGGAGATAAAAACTGGGAGAAAAGAGCTAAAGCTACCAGTCTCAGGGAAGCTGCTGATCGTATGCGGGATTTAAAACCCAATGTCTCCTGTACCTACTTGAGGGAAGCTGCTGAAATATTTGAGTCTATTGGAAGGTTTGGATCTGCAGCCGAATGTTTTTGTGACCTGAAGGAATATGAATTTGCAGGTATTAATTTTATCTTCATCACTTTAAGTTGCATCCTTGCATGGCATGTTGGTGTTTGAAATGGACACATCACCAATACAGGAGCATTCTGAAGCTATGTTTTTCTATAAGCATTGATGCTTGAAATATATAATTTGAATGGTGTTGGTCAATTTTTATTTTCTTCTATTCTCCAGGAACGATTTATCTGAAGAAGTGTGGTGAAGGTGAACATAAAAAAGCTGCAGTGTGTTTTACATTGGCTGGATGTTATGAGACTGCCGCAGAAATATATGCAAAGCACAATTGTTTCTCCGAGTGTTTGTCAGTTTGCAGCAAGGGACACCTTTATGATATGGGATTGCAATATGTAGAATACTGGAAACAACATGTTCAAGAAAGAGGGAAAGAAATAGATGGAATTGAACAGGAATTTCTCGAAAGCTGTGCATCTGATTTCTTTCAGCACAAGGATAGGAAATCAATGATGAAATTTGTCAAAGCTTTTAAGTCGTTGGACCATAAGCGTAGGTTCTTGAAGCCTCTGGGTTGTCTAGACGAATTGTTATTGTTAGAGGAAGAGTCTGGGAATTTTGTTGAAGCTGTAGAACTTGCAAAACTGAAAGGAGATCTCCTACGAGAGGCAGATCTTCTAGGTAAAGCTGGAAATTTCAGCAAGGCATCCTCACGCATCCTTTGGTATGTGCTTGCCAACTCTTTGTGGGTGCGTGGAAGCTGGGCAGCTTGGCCCTTGAAGTCATTTCAATCTAAGGATGAACTCTTGAAGAAGGCCATTTGGTTTGCAAGTAATGAATCTGATACCTTCTATGAATCTGTTTGTACCGAGGCAAAGGTCTTATCACATCATCCAAGTAATTTGTGTGAATTGAGACGTGCTTTAAGTGCTTTGCAGAAATGTGGGAGTCTTAAAGGCGAAATTTTGTGTTTAAGAAAAATTATTGATGTTCACACTCAAATTAATGCTGCAAAGTATTCATGGGAAGACAAGTTTCCTTTTGACCTGAAGTACCCTGATGACACCATGTTCTGTGATCAACTTTCTGTTGGAACCTTGTGTCATTTTTGGAATCTATGGAAGAGAAATATCTTAGACGTTCTTGAGTCCCTTAACTGTCTTGAGGTACAGGATTTTGGTAAATGTATAGGCTATGGGGAGTTCTGCCTGAATTATTTTGGTGTGCGGCGACAGTTTACTGATATGAAAGTGAGCTATCTTCTATTAAATCCTGATGCTGAATGGGTTAAAAAGGTCAATCAAAGTGGCGAAAATATGGTCTCAATTGATGTTAGACATTTCATAATTGCTGCACGGAATTACTGGCAGAATGAAGTTCTTGCTGTTGGCCTTAAGGTTCTGGAAACCCTTGAATCTCTGTATAACTTTTCCTTGAGGTCTTCGTCTCTGTTCAGCCAAAGCATGTGCCTGGTAAATATATACATCATTGCCAAGGATCTGCACTGCAAGAATTATGAGGCCAAACTGCGAAAGTTCTTCCAACTTTCAATGCAGTACTTCGAAAAAGTTTTTCCTCTTGATTACCAGAAGCCTTTGGAGGAAAACATGATTTCTTTAAGAGGAACACAGGCCTCCCGACAGTTACTTGAAGAATTTATTGTTAATGACCTTAGTAGAAAAGGTGACCTTACACTTGGGCAGATTGGAAGGTTGATGATGATATGGCTTGGGTCTGCTGAACCTGCAGATGAACTCTGCAATAAAATTTTTGAAAGAACCCGAGAAGATTCGAATTGGAGAGCTTTCATTGACATACTGAGGAGTGTTAGAGTGCCTTTAAATGAAACAACATCAGCTGGTTCTCAAGAGGCTTCACCTGTAGATCCATGTGAAGCAGGTTTTCTTTTGGTTTCTAGATTCCATGAATCTTTGAAAGAAACTTATCAAATCAATTGGCAGAACATTTGTGACTACATATCTCCTCACTGCTTCTTATATCTGGTTGAACGTTTCCTGATCTTGGCATTTTGCTCGCGTGGTTTCTTTTACACAACAAAATCTTCTTTTCTTGAGTGGCTGATTTTTCAGAAACCAGGTGTCAGTGTGATAGCCGGATTTCCAACAGGATTGCCGTTTAGTGAAATCTTCTGTACGACCATCACTTCCATGGTGGATTGGCTCCTCTTCCACAAAATCGAGACAGCTCGTTGGATTGAGAAGTCTAAAATTCAATTCAGAAACTATCACAAGTTGCTGATTTCGAGGTTGGTTGTCATTCTTTGCTCGCTGTGCATGAACACGTCCTCTGGGGAACCTTGGGATGCTCTCACTCGTGCTTTGAAGACTCATTATATTTCTTTTGAGCTACCGAGAGAATTCAATGCAGTGTTCATCAGACGTGTAGGGAAGCACAATGCATTTGTGGATAGAGTAAAAGTTGCTGAAGCTCTCAGAGTCCTAGGAAATCCTGCTTTGTTCGTGAACTTGAAAGAAAATACTCCTACGACCTCTGTGTGTCCCAACACTTTTTATTTAGGCATAGGCCCAAATTCTTCCAAAGAGGACATCATGGAAATGATGTTCCCAAATAAAAGCGTTACTTCTGTAGCGCAGAAATCCGTGAAGAACCCGTGTTGTGTGCTTCCCCTGATTGCAGACCATGCCAGGAAGACTTCATTGTTGCCATCTCCAGGCCATGCTTCCACGCAAAATCAGGCCCAGAAAGATGAAGAAGTGAAAAGCACTCTCTTGCAAATGAAATGGCACGTTTTGGAGGAAGAATCAGTTTCCACAAGGACTGGAGAGACTGAAAATGAAGGGAAGGCGAGAATCTTGGCAACTACTAGCTTTAAATCATCAGAGGTACTATCAAACCTTTAATTTCTTGCTAATAATGAAAGCCCTTTTTATACGTGTTTGTGCTAGCATTCGTTATCTTAATTGTAATAATGCTGAGATGTTTTTGCTTTGTTTTGTTCAAAGGACTTGAATGAATGTATACAATTCATGACTTCCGTTGTTAATTACATGTCTGGGAAGGAAACTCAATCTGGGGAAGATGCAGATATGTTAAAGGAAGCTGAAAGCATGCTTCAAGAACTGAAACAACTGTTGGACAAGTTGGATACAAGGTTAGTTTGTTAATGAATAGCTAGTTTCAATTCAGTGCCTAGAGTGGAAACAGATGGGGTCTCATGTGTTAATTTTACAGTTGTGTGGACGAGGAGGAAAAGCGAGCAGACGTGGTGAAATTGCAGAAGAGCTTGCAGTCGAGGAAGCCTAGATTGGTAGCTTTCTTGAACAACATCGTTGTGGGGAAGGATGGTGGTGAGGTTACGTTTGTGGATTCAGAACGTGACGGGGCTGCAAACCAAGGATCGGCTGAGGTTGTCGACGAGGATGCCGGTAATGTGGTGGCTACGCCGTCGGAGAGTGGCGGCGTGAAGAATCAGGGTGAGCGTAATAAAGCCAAGGCGAAGAACAAGTCTAAGAATCGCAAAGGAAAAGGTGGCCGTAGGAGGTGATGCATGCATACTTGCGTGGAAACCATTTTAATTCCCTTGTAAAAGTGAACATTTTAATTTCTCCTTGTCTATTAACTTCTAATTTGCTTGTCTTAACTAAGTTTATCATGTGATCACTGGGCATTTCGTTCACTACTACTTAACCAACTCCTAACTAAGTTGGAGTTAGAATTTATTTGGTCTCCTAAACAAGTTGTAATCATTTAAATATAAACGAGTACGTAACTTAATGCCGAGACAAATAGTAAACTTAAAGCATATTAGACTCATACCACTAAAATTTCAAATCAAGCTTATTGTTGCATGAAGCTTGACTTACCCTTCATACAATATGACTCATCGATGGAAGTATCTTTGCTCATAAACATCTATTATGTTTTTACCAGTACTTTGATCTATTTTGTTTATAGTTTGAACTTTGAAGAAAGGGTTCAAATCAAGTGCCTAATCTCGACGAGATTTTCACAATTCTAAAATGGATTATTAAGGGTTCTGCAATTTTCCCTTATCTCTCCAACTTTCCCCACGAGAACTTGAGTGTTCCCAACTTCATCAAAGCATCAACAAAGCTCTTCCGGAAGAGATTTTGATCATATGCTAAACGTGCCACAATCCTTGAGCTATCCAACACAAGCGCTTGATCAATTTTCAACATCCGTTTTCTCGCTCTTATATGCTTATAAAACTCGTTATCCACTATAAACAACGTATTTTGGTCCAGGAACATTGTGGGATCCTTCCTCGAAAGCATCAAACATGTCTGCTTCAGTTTGGCTTTTAAGCCGGCATCCATGGTAAGATCGATGGCGACAACCGGTTTTGCACAAGACAACATCCCTAGGCCGAGTCCAAGTAGATTAGATAAGAATAACATAGCTAGAGAATGAGAAACCTTTAATTTTTTAAATTTTTTTAATTTATAAACGCAAGTAGAATTTGCATCTCGTATTTAAAGTGAAAAAAAAATTCTAAAAATTGACAAACTCATTTGGGACTTGCGTTTTTTACGAGAAACTCAAATTCCAAACGAGTTTTTCCTTCTTTTATTCTTGTGTCAATAAATCAAGAAATTTGTCCATTTCAGTCAAAAGTCCATGTAAAACACTTCCTTTTTGTTGCATGCTACTTTGGGAATTTATATTTTTTTCATAGTTACAAAAAGAATACTTAGTCCCCTTTTTCCCCTTCATTTGATGAATTTGATGAAAGTGGGGATCCAAGCAGACACCAACCTAGGTTGAGCCTTAGACATGTCACCACAAATATTTCGTCTCTATTCAACTTAGGTCCTTTTATAACATGTTTTAACTAAGTTCATTATGTGACCACAGGGTATGTCATTGTTATTACCATTAACCAACTCTCAACCAAGTTGGAGTTAATGTTTATTAATTATTAAGATACTTCAATCACCCAAAAGATAAATTGTAATTCTTTAAAACTAATCTAATGCATCACTTACTACTATAAGAACATATGTTAAACATAAAATACACTAATGAACCACATACCACTAGAATCTAGAGCCAATCTTCCACACTTAGCCACATCAAAACCCCTTTTATAGCACTATCTTTGCTCTTCACTAAAGTGGCGCTAATCAAGCTAACACACGTGTCTTAATGATTAGGTGAACATTAACTATATTATTTATTTTTTAGTACTATTAACTCACCATCAGGATTTGATCCTGTGACATCTATTTTGGAGAATCACAAAGGTATCATCTAAGCACAATATGCTTGGCTATTTATTTTTATTCATAATTTATTTTTAATTAAAAATACAACTACTAGCCTGTGATTGCTTTTTAAAAAATAAAAAATAAAAATAAATTAAGAATAAAATAATCAACAATACACTTAACTCAGTTGTGTTGAAATGAAACTGCAATATGTATAAAATGGAACTGAATAACATGTCTTACATATTGAGTGTATATTGTTAAATAGAACTATAGTTGAATTGAAATGATACTTTAGTTTTGCTAAAATAAAACTATAGTATGTATAAAAAGAAATTGAATAACATGTCTCACATATTGAGTGTATATTGTCAAATGAAATTGTAGTTATATCAAAATGATACTTTAGTTGTGTTATAATAAACTACAATGTATATAAAATGAAACTGAATAACAGTTTCACATATTTGAGTGTATATTGTCCAATGAAACCATAGTTGAATTATAATTATAATTTAGTGGTGTTGTAATAAAACTACAGTGTGTATAAAATGAAATTCAACAACATGTCTCACTGTAATAAGACTATTGTATGTATAATATTGAATGAAAGTGGAGTTGAAACAAAGTGAAACTTTAGCTGTGCTGAAATGAAACCACAATGTATATAAAATGAAACTGAATATGTTATGCAAACAGAACTAATGACGCGAAACGGATGCTGTTTCTTTTCATTAAAAGAAACGACACCGTTTTGGACCATGGTCCACAGTATTGCCCACTTCAATTGTTATACCATGGATCATGGTTCATATTGCATTGTGAACCATGATACAAAAATTTTGTACATTTAGTTAACACGCTATGTACCTTCCGTTAACTGTTTAAGTACATGTAAACAAATAACTTGATAATTGCTGACACATAATATGATAGCTATAGGTATAGAAACTATCAACATGTACAGAATATGTCAATTATAAATATAGAATTTGAAGGTTATTTTTGGATCAATATCTACAGTGCAAGGTAGACCATGGTATAATTTGTCATGGAATTGTAAGGAGGTCCAAAATCGTCATTTAAATGGGCCTAAGTTAATGGATCAGATTTTTTGTAGGCCCATGTGGGAGAAATTTAATTAGACTTCCATTTATAGCCCCCGGTTCAGAACGTTAGCCAGCCAAGCCGGGATCCGTTTAAAGTATTTGTAACGCATCATGGATACATCCATCCAGAAGCACAGGGCGTACAAAGACTTCCATGCACGGCACTACGTGTCAGGCTCTGATTGGAAGGCTTCATAAAGGTTGACTTCCCTTCGTCGTTCTAGCCAATCACGCTCGCTGTTTCGCCTTATTTCGAATCCACAATTTAAGCACAGGCTGAACCCTCACCACTCTCCCCTCCTACCCCTCCGCTCTGCCGCAGTCTCTGTCTCTCTGCTCCTTTTCCTCAAACGATTTTCAGTGAGTTCTTCTTCCTCTTCTTCGATTCTTATTTTCTCCTACGGTAAAAATCTAATCTTTTTCCTTTTTTTTTTTTTCTTTTTATCGGGAGTGCAATTTCTTTGTTATTTTTGGATTCAATTCTGATGCTTGTTGGGCAAAATTGGTTCATTGATGCAGAAGACCATAAGGGGGGAATTTTCTCTATCGATTAATTACGGATTTTTTTTATTTTTTTATTTTTCATTTTGGGTGATTTTTATTTATCCATCTTTTTCTATGTCGTCTCCTTAAGGTGGACTTGATGCCTTCAGGGCTAAAGTTCGTGGCTTTTTTTTTTTAATCCCCTCTACTGGTGAATTTATTACTGTAATAATTTTCCCTCCCTTGATTGTAAACATGGGCTCTAAGGATTTTTCGTGAACAATCAGCAATGAATAATGAATTGGTGGAAATGCTAATTAAATGGCTTTAATGCTTTTGTTATCTCCCTTAAACAAGAAAAATACTGGGATGCTATAGTCTTAATTTCGCCTGTTTAGAATGTCTTACCTGCTTAAGTTTATGTTCAAACTGAAATTTGTTGTAGACTCCATCAGTTGGAACAGGATATGAAGGCAATTAGGCTGTGAGTAAAATTGAAAACATGGGAGGAGGTTTGTAGTATAGCCGTATAGGTAAAGGAAATTGAAGAACCCTAATGCAATGGGACCTGCTGAAGGAAACTAAACACTGTATGACTTTTATATATCTAATATAGTCCTGATTCTAGAATCTAGATATGATGAGGCATTTTGGTTTTTTTTTTTCTTTTTTTTTTTCATGTAGGTTTCGTTATTTAGGAAATCCAATATATGATGTGCTAGAGATATTGCCGAGGAATTATTGAGCTCTTTGTGGGCATGGGATTTGCATTAAGGCAAAGCTATACAGTTGGGGATGGTACTAGAGGCGAACCCAAAAAAAAAAAAAAACCAGTTTCTCATTTTGTTATTATGATGCAATATAGTTTCAATGATTTGAAGAATGAACCTATTTTTATATATTCTTTTGTCAAGTCTCTTTTCTAGTTTGCGGTTTTAATTTTCATATTTAGTTATGCTTTTAGCATTGCATTTTTTTAAAAATTGTAGAAAGGTGGTTTATTATGTCTAGCTTTTATTAGAAAATAATTGAATGGTTTTGTCTAATTACAGTGGATTTTGAGATTGATGGCGATTTGAACGGCGAGGTTGTGGGAAGCTCTGTTATTGAAGTCAGGGCTGATGCTGAAAATGCAATTGAAGGTGGTAGTCCTGATGAACATGATTTTCACCAGGCACCCAATGTTAAAGTTGACCATGACCTCTCTGGTAGGGATGTGGTTTCAATAGAAGAGCCGGAAACAGTGAGTAATTCCGCGCCAGATGAACCCTATGTGGGTCAAGAGTTTGAATCTGAAGCAGCAGCACATGCGTTTTATAATGCATATGCAACTAGAGTAGGTTTCATTATCCGTGTAAGCAAGCTCTCTCGTTCTAGAAAAGATGGTACTGCCATTGGTCGAGCACTTGTTTGCAACAAAGAGGGCTTCAGAATGGCTGATAGGCGGGAAAAGGTTGTGCGGCAAAGAGCAGAAACTAGGGTTGGCTGCAGAGCAATGATTTTAGTTAGAAAAGTAAGCTCCGGTAAATGGGTTGTGACAAAGTCCGTGAAGGAGCACACTCATCCTTTAACTCCTGGCAAAGGTCGTAGGGAATCTATCTATGACCAATTCCCGGTTAGTTCTGGCTCCTTTGGCTCCTTTATTATTCAACTATGTATTTATACATATGCCTGTTGCAATATGCATGTGCTTGTGTGTAGTTAAAGAATGCATTCCTTGTTCTCTCTAAGGGGGTATATTCAATGATGACTTTTATAGAATCTTTTCAGACTTTTGTAGACTTTGTAATAAGAGTCTATAAATGTCTTATATCACAAACATTTATAGACTTTTATTGGCTTTTACAGACTTTTTTTTTTTTTTTTTTTTTTTAATTTTAAAAAATCTACAGAAGTCCTTAAAATTCTAAACTAAAATACACACTTCTAGTTAATTTCTCGTAGTTTTACCTGATAATTCTAACTGCTATGTTAAATTTATAATTGGATTTTTGCTGGGTTCAAAATGATCAATGCAATCGCAATCCTATCTAGAATTGGGCTATTTCTACCCAAAGAGTTTAAGGCTTTAAGCATATAGTTAATTGTAATCAATGCAATCCAAACCTATCTAAAAGTTGCATACTCCTAAAGAAGTTAACACTAACAAAGACTTGTACTTGCTATAATAGATTTAATTCAAGCAATAAATTAGACTTGAGACTGAATGCTCCTTCCCAAATTTTGTTTCATCAACCATAATAGAAGTGATATTACATATAACCTTTCCCATTGCTGATACTCAATAGATTTCTACATCTAGAATCCCATTGGTTAGTTAAGTTTATTGCATTCCAGAAATTGATCCATGAAAAACTTTCTAACCCATATCACTAGTTTCTAGAACTTGAGTTTCATAAATGAACCAGCATGTTATTCAAATTTAAATCAGAGACAAGATTAAGAACCAGAGTTTCAAAAGCAATAAATTCACTTCATAAGAATGTTTGTTTTTTTTTTTTTTTTAATGAAAAAATGGATAGTGTCAAAAATGGTTTATCTGTCATTATATATGCATTTTATCTGCTATATGCATTTGGAACTGTTTCTCTTAAGGATTGTTAGGGCATTCTCTAGACAAGTATTAATTATTAGAGTATTATTGTTGGACAGTGGTTTGATTTTACTGTTACAAAATAAACTAGCTTCTGCTGCTATGATTGTGATACTTTTCCTTGTATTTATTAATTTCGTAGTTAAATGTTTTAGCCATCACTAGTTGTCTGATCAAGATTTGTACAAATGATAGATCGTGCAGTTAGTCAATTATGACCCTGCGCATGTGTTTATTATTATTATTTTAATTTTTGGTAAGCCCTTCTTCTTCTCCTTTAATGCCTAACGAATGTATCTTAGACCTACACGTTAAGCTAACGATATGATTTCAGGCATTTGGTATGGTGTCATTAATATTCAAGTGTTGAGCATGTTCTCTGAAGTACGAAAATAGATCATAATGTCAGACATACCACCGTTGGAAAAACGGAAAAATCACCTCTTTATTAAGAAAAAGCATGTAGCCTTTCATTGCTGTATTCCTCGAAGCAATTGAAAATGTTTGTTTGAAATAGTTTTTTGCTCTCGCTACTACTATCTTTTGATGTTTGTTATCTCTATTCATGTAGAACGAACATGATAAAATCAGGGAACTTTCTCAACAACTGGCAGCTGAAAAGAAGCGATCTGCAACTTACAAAAGACATCTGGAAATGATATTCGAGCACATAGAGGAGCACAACCAATCTCTATCGAAGAAGATCCAAGATATTGTGAACAATGTAAGGGAAATGGAGAGTAGAGACCAGCAGAACCGTAGATAGTTAGGTCGTATGCTGCTGCCTACTCTTGGTCGGGTAGAGAAGTTGATATCAAGAATGGTATTTTGATGAAGCAAACATCGCGAACTTAGCGTGTGTTTGGTATACTTTGACATTTTTTTTACCCTTTGATTTAGAAACAGCATGGAATGTTAAGAACTCTCTGCATATTCCTTTCTCTGTTTCATCTTTCATGTAAAATTCTTCATAAGCTGTAGCAATCATAATTCATAGGTACAGACTGTTTACTCAATGCAATTTTATCCAAGGGAAATTCGATCTCTCTCTCTCTCTCTCATATTTTCCCAAATTTTTTTATATCAAGGCACCATGACATAGTTTTGCATACTTTTTAAGGCAGATAAAGATGTTATATGGTAATGAATAATGCAAGATTTATTTCTTTTACTTTTGCATACAAGAATACATGTAGTTATTACACAGAAGCAGGATTTATGAGTGTACACTATTGGATAATAATTGTCGAATTTTTTGTCATTCAAAATAAATAAATAAATACAAATTTTAACGGTTTCTTAAACGTTGTTGTATTTATTCTTGTCTTATCACATAGAGTGAGATAGCATTATTGAATAAAAACATAATTTTCCTATAGTGATAGTGAAAGTGGGGCAATACTAGAGCTTTGGCGTTTGCACATATTATATGTGGGTTTAGAAGCTAGGTTAGCACAAAAATGAAAATAGGGAAATGGAATATAAGAAAATGGGATATGAAACGTGAAGGAAATATATAAATATAAAAGAATCATTTAAAGGAAATGACACTTTTAGTTCCTTAGTTATGAACGTAATGTAAATTTAATTTCTTAATTATTTGAGATATAGATTTAGTCATTTAATTTTTAGCAAAGTGACTAATTTGATCCTTCAATGACCAAATTTGTCACTAATATGCCAAATTGATAATAATTGAGGGATCGAATCTATCACTTTGAGAATAATTGAGAGACTAACTTGACATTTAAGTCACAACGAAAAGCTAAAAGTGTTTTTTTTTTTTTTTTTTTTTTTTTTTTTTTTTTTTTTTTTTACTTTCGCCTTCTTGACATGTCAAATTAAAGATAAATATAACTATTACACATGAGCGAAATTTGTTTAGTTTACACTCTCGGATATTGATGAGAGATTTTCCTTATCACCCAGAAAAAAGATGATAATAAATACAAATTTTAACACTTTTTTAAAGTTGTTCTTTCTATTCTTTGTCTTATCACATAGAGTGAGATAGCATTATTGAATAAAAAGATAATTTTCCTATAGTGATAGGGAAAGTAGGGCAATACATAGGTTTGGCGTTTGCACTATATTTGGATTTATGCATTCAATTTGAAATTGATTGATGTGCTGACTTCATATGTGGATTTAGAAGCTAGGTTAGTACAACAATAAATGATGGAGATATTAGAATCGGCCAAAAAATAGAGATTCGGGATCTGAGAGTCTAGAGTTGAGAGCCCATAAAAATAGCCTAAGCAGTCGAAGGTAGATGACTCAGACCAAAATGGAGGATTCGGGCCCAAGACAAGCAAAGAATCCATATGACAGTACCCGGCACCCGGGTACCGAGGCCCGGCCTATGTGGCTAGCCCCAAGTAGCGTTCGAGCATCTCGGAGCCTATGCGCACAATGAAAACAAACTCTTCTTTTTCTCTCATTTCATCTATTTTTCAAGTCACCTTGTCATAAAAACTGAGAAAAACTCATTAATAGGTGATGGGAAATATACCCCGGGTTCAGGCTCCCGGATGCTTCGTGCCCCTGTTTGGATTGAGTCAAGCGGTTCGGATCAAGGTCAACGGGTCAAGGTCAAACTTGACTTGGTTGCACCTATATAAGGGCACCTAGCCCTTTGGTGAGAGGACTTTTGGTTCCTCCCCTTTCTCTCCTAGACTCTCTCTCACTCTAGATTCTAGAATGTATAATCTCTCCCTTCACTCTACAACACACAAGAAGATTATCAATAAAAGATCTCTTTAAACTACTTCCTCTTGCCTATTCTTTACATTATTCATACATACATTATAGTTTATACATATGGCATACTCTCTACGTACACCGGGATTAATCGTATCAATAGGAAAGTCCAAAGTATAGGTCCGCATGGCCCTTATGGGCTGGGCCACACACGTGCTACAATGGCAATTACAATTTATTAATTTTTTAATCAATATATTTTATTTTATTTTTAGAATTAATCATTATTTTCTAGTTTTTTTTTTTCCTTTTCAAAAGTAACATTGGTGTTGCAGCCAGTATGATTCTTCGTGGGTGCAAGGTAGATTCATAGCGGCACACTCCTCTCATTTACAATGTGGTTTAGATCCTTATCTAGCAGAAACTCTAGCGTTGAAGGAGGCTCTTACTTGGCTAAAGGACTGTGGTGATAATCACATCATTACAGAGTCTGATTGTATGAATGTCTATAATGCTTATAACTCCTTTGCAAGCTGATTTTTCTTATGTTGTAGTTTAATCAAGCAATGTAAAGCAATTGCTATGGACATTGGGGATGTTAAAGTCCGCCATGTTCGCAGGTCAGCGAATCAGGCAGCCCATGTGCTAGCACAGACGACTGTTTCTATGTTTGTCATTGGTCCTTGAAACTCTGTTCCTCCGGAATGTATCTTGGGGTTGATATGATTTGGCTTAATGAATTTTTCCGTTTTCTTAAAAAAAAAAAATAATACTTATTTAAAATATGTTATTGGCATTCTTATCATAGTATTTTGGATTACCATATTCCTTGTGGCAATAGGAATCCAAATGCATCAAATCATTATTGTCTTCTCTACTCCATCTTCTCTTTTCATTTCCACCACCACATTTGACATTTCATACCCCTCCCTCCCTATATAACCCATAACCCTCCAGCCATTATCTTCTTATATTTCACAAAATGCTTTACTTTCTCCATTATTCTTATTCTCCTACTTTTTCTTCCAACCTTCCCCTAAAAATAGAAATACCCTAACTAATTCTTTTCTACAACTCACAAATTAGTGGTTCAAAAAACGTTGAATTGAACAAGTTAGAAACTGGATTAAAATACATATTGTTTGTGCAGATACATTCATTTTGACTTGTAAAAGGATTTTAATTTAGAATTTATTAAAACTCAATTATTTATAAATATTGAAATTTAATGCATTTACTTCACTTTTATGTTTTTCTTTTCTGACACTTTTTATTCTCCATTTTGTTATGCTTTCCAAATTTATAAATAAACATTTTCCTTTTTTTTTTTTTGAAAAAAAAAAACATATTCTATATTAATTTTCTCCACTCCAATTTTAAATCTTTTAAAATAAGACCGCGTTTAAATTCGTTTTTTCATGATTTTTTGGTAGGGTTCTAAGGAGAAAGTATGGCTTTACCAAATACTCTGTAAAAATGCCATAGCTCCTAGACAAAAATGGAAATAAAAATTTATAATTTTTTTATAAGTTATATAAATAGTTGAACACGTAGAATTTTTTAAAATATTCTAAATACATCATTTTATGTACAATATTATAATATTTTATATTCATTTTTTTAAATCACAAATGAGGGGTTAACTTTGTATCACTCTAGCCTCTCGTTCCAACGAGACTACAATGTACATATAATATAATAGTGTTGGCGAATTCTTCAAGCAACCTTACCCCTTTGAACTAATCGATAGTTATTTGGCTCTGTTCCTAAATTCTAAATACGGATTTAACTTTTATATATATATTCACATTTTATAAAATGAGACATAAAAATAAAAGGAATAAGGGTCAAATAGGCCACTGAACTGCACACGAAAATGCAATTAGGTCACTGAACCTAAAAACCTACAATTGGGTCCCTAAACTAACCAATTTCATTCAATTTTTCAAGTTTCTCAAGTTACTAACAGGTTAACCCTCCACCTAGGATGCATATGTGACATTTTTTTAAAAAATAATGTATTTTTAAATTAGTTTTTTAATGTTTAATAAATAAAAACTAAAATAATTTATTTTTAAATTAGTTTTTTTAATGTTTAATAAATTAAAACTGAAATAATTTGTTTTATTTTTAAATAAAATATCGTAAGGGCTTAGATTTTATTTTCAAAAAAAAATGTTATTGTAGTTTTTATTTATTAAACATTAAAAAAACTAATTTAAAAATAAATTATTTTAGTTTTTATTTATTAAACATTAAAAAAATTAATTTAAAAATATTTTTTTAAATGCTACATATGCATCCTAGGTGGAGGAGTAACCAGTAACCTGTTAACAACTTGAGAAACCTGAAAAATGGTAAAATTGAATGAAATTGGTTAGTTTAGGGACCCAATTGTAAGTTTTTTAGGTTCAGTGGCCTAATTGCATTCTCGTGTGCAGTTCAATGGCCTATTTGACCCTTATTCCAAAATAAAACAAACATTTTCAGAAACTAATAACCAGACCGTCCATGTCTCAATCAGGCAAAAGAATTGATGAGTCGCAGGCTGTTCTCTTGTGGATAAACACTAATTTGTTGCTTTTTAATTCAATTTTTGTTTACTTTTATATTCCGTCCGTGATTCGGAGGTGCACAGATTTGCATGCCCAATCGCTACCCCTGAAATGGCCTGAATCACGTGGTCATCCAGATATTTGGCACGACCAACCAAACAATCCTTTTCTATGAAAAATAAAAAGATCTGAAATACAATAATATTTTATTTAAATTCCACGTAGGCATGGGCATTTCAATAATGGAAAATATGGTGTGTTCAAAAACTATGATACAAAACGGTGGGTGGGTGTTGGCCTGCAATAGATTTGACTTTTGTTTGGTGAAAGGTGCACCCCTTTCCAAGTCTTGACCAAACCATTTTCTGAAGGGTGTTGCTATTTACACCCCCTTTGACTAAAATGAGGTATAAAGCACATTGAAAATGTAAAAAGGTAGTAAATTATAATAAATATATGGGTGGTACAAATAGCCTAATGGGTGGTCAAAATGTTATTTGCACCACCCTATTAAATCTACATTTATGAGGTCAAAATTTAATTATTATTAAAAAAAAAAAAAAAAAAAAAAAAAAAACGAAGCAGCACCATAGCCTTCTCCGGTGAGAAGGCGACGGACTGCCTTCTCACCGGAGAAGGCAACTGGGCTGCCTTCTCCGGTGAGAAGGCAGCCCAGTGGGTCGCCTTCTCGCCGGAGAAGACAACCCATTTGCCTTCTCCGGTGAGAAGGCAGTCCATCGCCTTCTCACCGGAGAAGGTGACGGGGTGAAGGTTTTTTTTTTTTTTTTTTTTTTTTA